ATATATATATATATATATATATATATATATATATATATATATAGTATGTATGTATATATACAAGTATAGATTGGTGTATAGGGAATAAATTCCAATAATCAGCAATTACTATTCTTAGTGCTCAATACAAGTAGAGCAGATATAATTATTTATTTAAAGATTATAACATAAATAAGTTATAAAATCACTAAAAAAATAGCTATTTTGTTTTTACACCTACGGTGTCTTATCAATGGCAAGATAAAATCTACATTTCAACATCATTGCAAATAGGACACAGGAATAATATTTTTTGAATGTAGAATAAAATTCGCCAAACATTATTTTATTGTTTTTCAGTTACTATCCCTGTTTTATTTTTTTATTTTATTTATTTTTTTTTTTTGAAACATTGAATTTAATAAGGACACATGGGAAGAAATATTTTTATCATGTATCTGTGAAACCAAAAAATTTGAAATTTACGTTAAAATATTGTTGAAACCATTTTAAAATAGTTTCTCTGTAATATTTCTTAGCTGGAGTTACTCATATATCGTCTGCTTCTTTGAGATTTCCCAACGCTCTTCTCACATTCTCCTAACTTAATTGGTACGCGTAAGTGGATAAATCATCGTAAGAATCTGTTTGGTTACTTAATTGAGTCGTAAATTAGTTATTTAATTAATTCTGTTTTTGTGCTGACGAGAGAGATTTTTCCACACCCAGTTTTATTATACTAAGCTGAATATTGATTCAAATATACACATCATTTTTTTTTTTTGTTAGTTTTTTTATAACATGTGTTTATGTAGTCGACAGCAGCAATGGCCGACATGGTTACAAATTTCATTTTAGATTTCAAATAGTTTCATAGGTGGCAGCGTTTTTGTCCCTGCTTTATCTACGATCGTCTAGAACCAACTTTTGCACATAACCTTACCTATCCCATCGACATCCGTTGATATTATAGTTCACTACTGCACCCCAACCCAACTCACTGTAGCAATTAATTGTGAGGTTCATAACTCTTTCCGTGCCTGCATAGTATATGCTTCATCAGGGCTACATACAGCTTTTCCTCCTCCGAGGCGGGTCACCAGCCATAGCTGAGGGAAGAAGATATAGATTTGGTATCTAGACGAAACTGAATATAACGAACACGACCGGACTTCGAACACTGCTCGCCGATATTTCCGCCCGAACCGTTAATCATTAGACATATTTCACATCCAGATATCATCTCATATCTTGTAGATACATTGATCATGAGCAAGATCAAGTATCCGTTAACCCCTAATGGTCATAGGAGGACCACATATACTACACCTGTAGCAATGGTGAGTCTGACATAGCCGAACGCTCTCCAGGCAGGTTTGAATTCAGAGTATTCCTTCTCCTAGACCCCAACTATCAGTCTGTTTTGCTATTTATCCATAGTTAGGGGGAAGAAGTCATGGATTCATACCTTTAACAAGGATGGGCCCTTTGATGTAGTATAATAGTTAGCAAGCTTGTCTAGATTAATTACGAATAGTGAGTTCGATCTTCACTGGGTGCCCCATACTTCCGGCTTTATGCCACATCTAATCTATGCTTAGAAAGTTACCACACCTTTACCAAGGGTAGTTGCAACGAACTTAACTGGAATTCGAACTCAACTCTCCGTTTCTCGTTGCTCGCCGTTATCCACTACACTATTGCTTATTTCAAACACGAGCATCTAAAATAAGTAACATTTGAAGTAATATATATATATATGTGTGTGTGTGTGTGTGTGTGTGTGTGTGTGTTTAGGCAGCATATCTTCCTTCAAACATGTTTCATTGAATAATATCGACATATTATGTCTATTTATTTTTATACTGATCCTTTCCAGTTCTATAATAAGTCTCTTGATGTTAAGATGACACACATCAAGGAAGGCGCCGTGGGTTTTTCTTGCCCAAGTACTTTCGATCTCCTCTAAGATCATCTCCAGGGGTGAATTACAAAGACAAACTTAATCTAGCTGTGATAAAATCTGCATTTCGTTGTGATGGTGATTTTTAAAACGCACGTGTGAAGTATTAAACGTATCCGTTGTCGCTATGAGATTTTTGGTAAAACAAGCGTTTCAATATAAGGAAGTTAATCGGAAATTGGTAGCAAGCAAAATGACATTAAATGTTTGTTATATGCACTTCAACACGTTGCTGCTACACTCGTAATAGATTTTGTTGAATGTTGGTTGATTGCTTTTGATATCGAGGGTTTCGAGAATTTGACGTTATTTTTTTTTATTATTTTCGTAGTCTATTGATTTTGTCGCTTCAAATTTTGAAATAATCATAACAGAGCATCTTCACTCGTTTTTTTTTTCTTTTTTACAGATTTGTAATTTCCGCCAAAGAGTGATTGTGAAAGAGATCGAAAATACTTGGGTAAGAAAAAACTACGGCGCCTTCCTTGATAAATTTCATGTTAACATCAAGAATCTGCTTAGCGAACTGGAAAATAATAGTATAAAAATAGACATAATATGTCTGTATTATTCAATCAAACACACACACACAGACACCCCCATATATATATATATATATATATATATATATATATATATATAGAGAGAGAGAGAGAGAGAGAGGTTGAGAGAGTGAGCGAAAGAGAGAGAGAGAAACAACTTAATTGTACATGAGTTAGCGAAACTGGATATCGCTGCAATCAATGAGATTCGTTCACCAGATAAGTACATTTATGTGACCACACAGCTGCTTGAACGTTTTACTGGTCCAATAAAGCAGAAACTGAAGAATATTTTTCAAGTTTTGGCTTCAAGGTGAAGCATTCCATCACTTCAAACTCACTGGCTCATCTCAATGTCTCATCCACATGATGAGGCATGTCACGTTCTTCCCTGTGTACAACTCAATTCTCCAGAATAAGCAGGCTTGTTTTCATAATCGAAACTTACACCAAGTACTTTTTAAACAATTAATGATTTTTTTTTAAATCTGAACTACCCGATTCTCCAAATAAGCAGGCTCAGAAAAGATAAACTGGTTTTATGCTGATCTGTACAAACCTTTAACAAGTGTACCAGCAACCGATAAAAATCTCATTCTTAGTGACATTTTCCACAATGTAGGCTGAGATTGACTTTTGGTAAAGCATTCTCTGCAGGCTTGACATAGGAAACGGTAACAACATCTAACGCCTTCTTTAGTTCTGAACAGGGAATTCTTTGTCATTAATACATTATTTTAAATGAATAGCAACCAACAAAAATACAGTTATACTGTCTTGCAAAAGATTACATTCTCCCGTGGCGGATTATTATAAAATATGTGTACTATTATCCTTTTATATAGGAATAAGAACACAGAATTTAATATCCCATACATAATATTGATAGTGTGCTTTTAGGGTAGGGGGTTTAATGATTTCACCGCAAGCAAAGCGATAATGCCACTATGACGCAGAGGGTTACACGGGGTGAATAAGAATGAAAAGACTTTAATGAAGAGAAGTGAGGAGAAAGTATAATAAAAGAACAGGATTCAGGAAGACAGAAGATGATGATTGACGTTGCATTGAATTTTTTGAAGATTGTAGGTGGCAGGGAATCCAGAATCCAGAAGAGATTCCCAGATATAAGAAGTACGGGAAAAGAAACTATTAGAATAGAATTGATTGCATCTATCTAGTTCAACAGTAAAGAGGTGAACCCTAGTTGTGAACCTAGTAGCACGCTTAAATCCATGCATTCGAGGCACAAAGGAGAACAGACAATCAGAACTGATACCATGGAAATATCTGTAGAATAAGAGGAAATGGGCCACTTTGATAGGATTGATCAATGGTACAGTTTTAGGGTTTGTTTGGCGGTGATAAAATGAGTGTTAATTTTGAATATATTGTTTGATACCAGATAGTCTTTTCCCCATTGAGCTGTAAGAGTTAGATCAGAGGAGAGATCATCTGCTCGTGACTGGTTATCCAAATATTTGAAGATGCACCCATACACCGTGGTTTCATCTGCATATATATTTACTAAGGATCTGAGAATGTTCTTGGGCAGATCGTTAATATAAAGTAGAAAGATAGCAGGACCCAGCAGAGAATCTTAAACTTGTATAGAAGCGAATCCTATTGAAAAAAAAATCCTTATGCTATTTGAATTTATATGTGAAAATAAGATATAAAAATTATTTGTGTGCTTTCCATAAAAAAGGCGATATACACCCTAACCGGATTCTATTCCCACTAGATGTTTATGTTAAACAGGGTTTTCAACAATAACATGAAAACTAAACATCCAGTTCTTCTCCACGTGGGCCAAGACTTGCGGCTTGCCCTATCAAAAACAAATCCACGCATTTTCGTTGCCAAAAACCATATCCACATTTCTTAGGTTTTATTGCTAACTCATACATATTCATTGTTCAAACTTTTAATTGAAGCTGTGTCATTAAACTATACGCGTTAGTGCATTAAATATGGCGACTTTATTTCATAAAGAGTTGAAAAGGACAGATATATCTGTTTTTTGTTCTTCTCTGGGTAATCGAGGGCATAAGTTTAGAGTAATGAAATAAAAAATCTTTAGAACAACTGCTCCGATTCAATAATTTTCAAAAGATCACGTCTTCCAGAACGTTCTTTGTCCCTTGAGCGCGAAATCTTTTATATTCTTCAGAAACCATTCCTTAATATTTCATTTTTGTCCTTGCGTTGTAGCTTTTGTTCTCTCCTGCTTGTTTTTGTGTAGCGGCATATCGACACCTCTATGGGTTTTATAATGCTGAAGTGTAAATATTTTGTATGAAATTTTATTTCATTTTTTTAGATGATAATGATTTTAGTGATATGAATCTTACTAATTAACCCATAGTTGGGAGGAAAAGTGATGGTTTCATACATTTCCCAAGGGTATTTGTGCGTAAGAGAATATAACGAACCAAATTGGAATTCGAACTCGGCTATCAGATTAAAAATTGCGAACCATTATCCGTTACACCCCCCAATCCCGAATATACTAGTTTACAGCACCTGGCATTCTCAAGCGGTCACCCATATAGGTACTGACCAGGCTCGACGTTGCCTAACTTCGGTGATCCTACAGGAACGGGTGTTTCACACTTCTCCCCGATCTTTTGAACAGGATTAATTGTTTATCCTTTGATTCCTGTTTAGGATTGGGTTTCCGGTTCCTTCTAAAGTCGTCTCATTCCCTTTAATTACCAATAGCCTCTTGCGTCTTAGTGGCATTATCGCCTTACCTGTGTTGAAATGATTAAAAAAATATATGAGAGGTATTCCATAACAACCAAAAGTAGTGAACACCTAAAAATTGCCAGAGGGCATTTCCCCGAAACGTTGCGTTTACAATAAAATCCGTTGTAAAAAACAAAAACAAAAAAAAAAACAAAAAAACAAAAAAAAACAAAAACAAAAACATCCCAAGAAGCAAATTACAAATTGGAGATATCGAAAATTAAACAATTACAATAATTTAAATATCTGTGAAACTTATTAACAGAGGACGGAAAGTGTGACACGGACATTCGAAGGCGTATTGAGATAGCGAAAGATTCCTTTCAAAACCTGAGCAAAGTATTAAGAAACAGAAAAATATCGTTAAAAACAAAGAAAAGGTTACTGAACTATAACGTAATACCAGTCGTTCTATATGGCAATGAATGTTGGACAATCTTCTCGCAGTTGAACAAGTGACACGAAACAACAGAAATGTGGTTCTACAGAAGGATACTGAGAATATTATGGACCAAACATGAGAACATGTACGAAGTTCTAGAGATAATGAAAGCAAAAAAGACATTTATACTTAACATCAGTCGAAATTTCTAGGAAACATAATGAAGAAAGAAGACTTGGAAAATTTAATACTCACAAGACAGATTGAAGGCAAGAGGAACAGAGGAAAGCAAAGCGCAATCTACATAGATAGCTTTAGTGAATGGATGGCGGAGTAGGGTTTGGGAGAAATAGTAAAATGACAAACGTTATTAAGCGATACGGAGTAGAGGAAGTTGTGGAGAGACATGACTGCTAACGTCCTGAAGGGACACGACACATGGAAGAAAAAAAACACTCAAAGAAGAGTTTGAATAAGTGAAGATCGAATAAGTAAGTTTATCACATTTTCGAAAACAGTGCCGAAAGAGTGTGTCTATAGAATCGGTAATGAACTGAAAAAGTTTCAGTGACACTTTTAAGAATTGGGATTGGAAAATTTTCTCCAGCCTGAAAAAAAGGACACACTAGAAAGTTTTTAGGTTGAATAATATATTTTATAAGAACATCTTAATTACTTAGGCTTCTTTTCAAATACTTTGCATAGATAATTAAGATTATAGTTGAAATTTCTAGAGCACATTACGGGGAAAGATGGCTTCGAATACTTGACATTCACAGGACTTATTCAAGCCAAGAAGGACATAACCTATCTAACGAATATGTGTAAATAGATGGCAAAACAAGGTTTAGGAGAAAGAGCAAAAATTAAAAAAAATTATAAGAGCTACAAAGGGCAGGAAAATGTGGAGAGCCATGATCGGCGAGTCATGAAAGTTAGCAGAAGTATGGTTTATTCTTTGGAGAAGTAATTTTGTTAATAAGGGGTAGTTTGTCTACCTACTCAATTAATTACTTCCTTTGTCAATCGACGAGTCACGCAAGAGTTAAGATAGCTGAAGGAGAGAGGAGGGCAGGGAGAAGAGGATTCATGATTTTCCCAATCATTAATTCAAAGTAAACATGATCAGCTAATATTCTACGCTTTCTATGACCGCCATGTTGAAAATAAAAGAATATAATAAACTCTGATCCTTGAAGTTTGATTTTGAATAAAATTTCAGATTCGTTTTTAGTTTTTACATATAAGGTGTGGTTCTTAAATAACAAGACTTGAGCTACTGTAAGTGGAGTCACTGCAAGACTGGGCCACTGTTAGTCGAGCCACTGCATGCATGCGCGGACCACGTGGGATGCAGTGACCTATCGGAAGGCAAATATTTCAAATTGATATATTGCTTGATTTTTGAACTGGGCCTTTTTATAGCACTTCAGGAAAACGTCTATTTCAGACGATGCGTAACTGAGAAAAGAAAAAATCTTTCTGCGTTTAGTTTATGCTTACACATTGATTAATGATTACCACATGGTCTGCGCCATGTTGTTATTTAATAACCATCATAAGCTGTGCTTTTTACTTTAGCCTTATTGCGTTACGCGTGTTGCTAAAATGTTGCTAAACCTAATTGAGTCATGAAAGACGAGAAAATTGCAATCTTTCTGGAAACAATAACATCAAAGATAATAAACTTCAGCGACTCCTTGGTGTTATGGAACCATTGATTGGTTTTTACCTGGAAGGCACCCCGGGATTACAAGGTATTTCAAAAATATATATACGAACTTTTACGATGTCCAGCTCAAGTCACCTTGAGTATGCTGCAAGAATCTTTTTTGCCAATAATAAGAGAAGCTTTGAGAGATGAGGAATATTATTTTCAGCAATATGGAACATCACCGCATTACCATCGTGATGAAATCTTGTCAAACACATGGATCGCTAAATGAGATTCTGTAGAATATCTTAATTGTTCATCGGACCTCACCCCTTTAAACTTTTTGTTGTGGGGATTTTTTTTTATTTAAGCGTTTCAACCCAAGCAAGGCGGGAAGCCACTAGGATGCAAGTGGTTACAGAAGATTTGGAGCAAGATCAGATAGGAGTGATAGAGGAAAGGATGAGGAGAAGGATAGTGGATAGATCAAGGCAACTAGAGATGTCGATTGACATTACATTTGAATAGTTGGAGATTATAGCACTCAGGTAAACAGGAATAGAGAAAGAAGTTCCACAGGCGAGAGGTGCGAGATATGAAGCTATTGGAGTAGAAGGGACGGCTACAACAGTGAAAGGGTGAGAGCGGGATGCCAGCCTCGTAGGGCGCTTGAATTCATGAAGTCTGGGAACCAGCGAATGCAGCTCCTCCGAGCAATTAGCATGAAAGTATTTGTAAAAAAGACAGAGAGAGGCGACGTGGCGTCTGTGAGAAAGCGACTGTAGACGAGGTGCCAGATCAGGGCCAATTATATTGCATATCCGCCCTTGGAACTTATCAAGAACTTCAAAGATAAAGTCTACGCTACAATGCTAGCAACAATCACTGAAATTAAAGTTTCTATGAAGCTGATGATGGGTAAGGGAATCAAATGTCTGTTGATTGCTCCTTGTGAGTCAATTGCGTTGTCAGCAATGCCTGGATCATAATGGACATCAATTTGAAAACATGTCTTATGAGCATGCATTTATAATAAATACAGATCATTATATGCATAATTTAATTTCCATATAGTTGTCTTCAGTTGCTTGAATTATTATTTTCTTTTTTTAATCGGTATCACCCCAATGAAGGAAGTAAAGCTCCTAAGACGCAAGGGGTTAAAGGGTGTGAAATAATTAGTAACAAAAGCATTAATGAGCAGGGTGATAACATCATATATAGATATATATATTTGAACCTTATTTCAATCCTTCATGAGCTGATTTTTAGCCATGTCTAATTAATGATGAATATGTCATATTTGTTTATGATTGATTTCATCACGATTGTTCTCTTAAGATTGTTTATTGCTCAAAGTAGAGTCCAATAGTGTTATAAAAATCTCGGAGAATTCCAGTAAGATATCTTTAATCATTTCTAAGATACAACGGTTCAGAGCTTAATCCAACAATTTTGATGTTACACGATTTGAACAAATTTGGTGTTACACTCGATATATATATATATATATATATATATATATTTATTAAAGACATTTTTTATGTTTAACGTTCTTTTTATAGATACAAGTATTTAAGTAAATGAACTCTGTTTATAATAAACAGTATTAAATAACATTTACCGGCCTGAATGTCCGTCGAATTTTCATAGAAAATATTCGTTCTTTGACAGGATTCGAACCTGCATCCTATACGGAACCGTCATATACGCTGACATTGCCTTACCGATCAGAGAACGAAGCGTTCAGTAGAAAAGGTCGAATTTCAGGGCCGGTAAATTTTATTTCCGTATGTTTATTATAAACGAGAAAATAAAATTAAAAAAAACAATCGACATAAAAGAAACTCAAATTTTAAAAAAATGTTCTTTAAAAATAAATTGTCAGACTTTGTCCATTTTAATATATATATATATATATATATATATATATATATATATATATATATATATATATATATATGTATGTATAATTGGTGTAAAGTATTCTAGTTATTTTCATAAGAACGTGTGCGTTTGTATAAAAATATGATTATTTTCTTCTTTTCATACGACAGACATCTCCTTTTACTTTAGCATTATTTTTTCATTTCCTTTTCAACATATCTTTGAAATGTGTGTTTAGATGTGTGTGGATGTGGACATAAATACTTATAACACGTAAATATCTTTACTGTAGATATAAACAGTGTTCAAAAATATTATGTATACTGTGTGTATGTAAGAAACTATATTTATACAGTATATTTTATAGACGAACGCGTTTACCAATGATTTATTTTATGAATTTTGATCCAACATTCTCTCACTGCGACAGAAAACAAAACCTGGTAGTATTTTAAAGTACTAAAATAAAAAAAAAACAATCGACATTAACGAAACTCAATATTTTATGAAAATGTTCCCTGAAAGTGAGAACGAAAGAAACAACGGTACAAGATTATAGAATTCTGGTAAGTTCACAGAAGCCTCACATGACATACCTGAAGAAAGCTTTGAAACAATTGGACTAAAAGAATTCAAGCTATTTTCTAAGAAAGGAGGAGGTGTCATAAAAATATGATTACTTAAGGCTACGGGACGACATCTGCTTTCTTTAGTAATATTTAAGTGTCAACATATCTGCGAAATGTATTTTGATAATGAGAGTAAGAAATAAATACTTATAAGCTCTTATAACATTGCAAAATAACTTAAACAGTGTTCTAAAATATTAGCATACTACTGTATGTGGAATTAATTCATAAGTATATTTTATAATGAATGTAGATATTTGTAAATAAACTTATAATTCACAAACCAAACAACATTTATAAATTATAATTTCTTAATACAGCCAAATATATAGAAATATATATATATATACGCTATTTATATCTATATATATATATATATATATATATATATATATAGATAGATAGATAGGAGCTCGGGAGTAGTGGATAGTAGCTCGGATTGAGTTCGAATTCCAGTCGAATCCATTAAATTCACTTACCTGCTAATACCCTTGAGAAAAGTATTAATCCTCCTTTTTCTCCTCCAGCTATGGGTAAATAGCAGGACAGACTGGTTTCTTTAGCCTTGGATGGCAACTAGTCTAGGAGAAGGACAACTCTGAATTCAAAACCTGCAGAGGGTTGTTTGGGGACCTTGTAGCACGTAGTGCACCAGATCTCTGTATTCGCGCCTTCAAAAAGTGTGGTAGGTTCTTCATAAAGCCTTCATCACTATAATCAAATCATATTTACTGGTTCCTTGGCTGTCGGTTCCTAGGAAGTGAGCTGCTTGACCCTCATACATCGATAACAACAGGAGATTCCACCATATATATATATATATATATATATATATATATATATATATATTCTTCTTCTTCTTCTTCTTCTTCTTCTTCTTTCTCTCTTTCTATCAGTGCGTTTGTCTATTTATTTTTTAGAAACAACAGTGTGTTCGTTAGTTTTTTGTTTTTTTTTAAATAAAGCGTTGGGTGGCCAATTATAAAAATCGCCTGAGGATACAGTAAGGTTGAAACCAAGGTATCGGATTCAACTGACCTCCTAATTCAAATGTAAAACCTACGTGCATTAGGTACTTTTAATACTAATGTTTCCTGGTATAATTCAACTCTGACCATTAACCTTTTATGTATTATATATATATATATATATATATATATATATATATATATATATAGAGAGAGAGAGAGAGAGAGAGAGATAGATAGATAGATAGATAGATAGATAGATAGATAGATAGATATGTGAATAAAGATATCGCACATAGAATGCTATTGTTAATAAAATAGAGCTCGATGTAATATAACAAGTATTATTAAGCATATATTAATAAATATACATATTATTCCTCACCAGTAGCACGACTCGGAGTTTCATGCACAACGCAGTCTTCAGGTGCTGGGTAGAGACTGACCGTTACATGATTTACATTTTAATAAAAATATATGTTTAACGCAATCCTGGCGCAGTCCATATATTATACGCGGATTACGGATTTTTATTTTAAAAATATATATTGGATTTAAAATGGACGGGATTTTTATTTTATATTTAAAATAAACGCTGATTAATATCTTATCTTATCTAAAATAAACAAGATAACGAAATATAAATGTTTATATATCAAGAACGATTTTGGATGAAAGATGCATGGTAAAGTGGGAACAGTTTTAGTACGACGCGTTTCGTCCTTTAAGACTTCATCAGTGTGTTCATGTTGATGCAACTATAAATGCGAGAAAACCTCAAGAAGAAAACAAAGATAAAAAGAATCTAAGTGTAACTGGATATATAATATATCTAAAACATTAATTTTTAATTTAAAATCCCCGGCGTCTCTCGTTCGTGAGCCTAAAAGTGTTGCTGGTGTGGTTTAGTGTTGTATTTAACGTGAAGGGAATGAAGGTGGTTCACTACAATGTCCCTAACATGATGGGGCTTAACTGCAAAGGTTAAAATTGGTGAAACTGAAAATATAGTTCGTCTGGATACTCTCTATATAAATAGCGATACAACAACGAGAAGTTTGCGATGTCTCGTCTATTTGAAAGGGATTCTCGGGTAGAAAATATTTCGTCATGCCCAAGGACACGGCGAGGCTTTTGGATACTATCGAGAATGGAAAGTGAAGACTGGACAGCTCCTGCCCATATATGGTAGTAGTACTCCGTTTTAAGATTGATCTGATTTTTGTAAAAGCAAAGGATAACAAGAGGAATCAGGCCATTACTAGACAGGGAACGGACTATTTTTCCAGCATCTTTAGCGATGGATTGTTTTTATGAGTTCTACCTTTGGTCTGGGTTGAGTTTAAGTCCCAATAGGCGCCCAAGTCACAGTACCTTCCTGACGGAATATCCATTCATCGTGATTGGGGGTGGTTCAATATCAGATTGGCGAAGAAGAAATCTATCTAGTTTGGTTTTCATAATAATAACTAGATATATTCGTGAAAATTTCACGGTTTTTCTATTTTAATTTTCAGATGGATTTTTATTTAATGACTGAATAATCTCCTTGCCAGTTCCACGAGTTTAAAATAACTGTACAAATTCCTCTATTGCCTCGTTAAATAGGCGACAGACATGTGGCTCTACAGAAGGATGCTAAGGATATCATGGTCCGAGCGTGTGAGCAACGATGAAACGGTTGCAAACAAGGAGGAGGCTTATACTTAATATCAGGAATAGGCAGCTGAAGTTTCTGGGACACATAATGAGGAAGGAGGGTCTGGAGAATCTAATACTCACAGGTCGAATAAAGGGAAAGAGAGACAAGGGAAAACAACGCGTGACATACCTGGCGGACTTACGCAAGTGGATGACAAAACGTGGTCTGGGGGAGGAAGCAGAGGGAAGGAACTTGTTGAGAGCTGCAAGGGATAGAGGGAGGTGGAGAGCCATGATCGCCTACGTCCTGAAAGGACATTGTGCATCAAAAGAAAAGAAAAAAGAAAAGAAACCACTTCAACATACATATTGTAATGACAATCAGAAATACGAATGCAGGTCATTATTGAAAGAAGCGGGTACAATTGAAAAATTTGAAATTGACAAGTTTCCCCGAAGCAGACGTTGAACATATGAGAGCATTATTTCTTTCTCTAACTTCTCTTTCTTTCATCCTTTCTGCTTGTCACTGAAACCAAACAGATATATCTTTCCCGTCTTTCCTCGTGATCCACGCACGTTGTATCGAACACCTTCATTCTCTTCGTATTCCATTTGTGAGGTGTAAGTTTCACGCGAGCAGCTTCCCAACAACCTCTGCTCTGTGGAAGCCACTCAGAAGAAGGTATTAGGTTGGTGCAAAAATAATGACGTAATAATGTCGTTTTTGACGTATTTTTTAACGTCAAAAAACGACATTCTTACGTCATTATTTCTGCACCAACCTAATATTTTCTCTATCTTTATCTGTCTAGAATTTATCGCTATCTTCCCTACATATCCACATAAACTGGGCTCCTTACTCTGTAAAACTCCACTACGAGTGGCTGTTGGGCTTTGTCTAGCATAAACATTACTTTAAAAATATTATTACTATTCGGGGGAATATCGTTTTGATTGTGTTCTCATTTTTGGCTATTAAAGTATTAGGTTGGTGCAAAATAATGACGTAATAATGTCGTTTTTGACGTTAAAAAATACGTCAAATAACGACATTATTACGTCATTATTTTTGCACCAACCTAATACATATTCGTTCACATTTGCTTAAATTATTTTAACTTTCTGTCGGTTCCGAATGGCGTCACGATTGTCGTCTGTGAAGGTGTCATTTGGCAAGTGAATCTGATTGAGAACACTAACAGTCATTCTGTACCGATTTCACTGCGAAAGACATGATTTCATTTCCTCTTGAATTCTTTGATATCTGTACATTCACCAAAAAAAAGGATCTACCGATAATGGCAATCCCCAGAGATGATGATAGAGAAGAGACTTGACCCGGGTACCAAACTATTACTACTTTCAGGTCGTCGTAACAATTTTTTTTTCTTTTTTATATAATCATTTCACCCCAATCAAGGCGATAATATCACTAAGATGCAAAGCGTTACTGGGAGAGCAAGAGAATGAGAAGACTTTAGTGGGGCGGGGGAAGGACAATAAAGGAAGAGGATTCAAGAAGCAGATGATGGCGATTAATGTTGGATTTAAATTTTTGAATATTGTCGGTAGCAGTGAAGCAAGAATCTGGGGTTGCGTTCTGTGTTGTCTCTGGGGCCCACGCTACTATATAAAATGGTACCAGCAAAAAGGAACATTTCTTTTTTTTATTCGTTTTATTAGGAGAGAGTTGCAGTAGCTTAGATTCTAAGAAACAGCTGAGGGAATGAAGTTATGCCAAACGTTGATTTAGCGTCAATCACTGACCATTCTGGCCCCCTATATATATATATATATATATATATATATATATATATATATATATATATATATATATATATATATGGAAATAGAGAGAGTTTCTTTTCCGCTAATCGGTCTGGTGAGGCAATCTCAAAAGGATCTGAAAACGATACCACGGTTTGAGACTTACTTATTTGTACTTGATGCGGCATTCACCCTGGGCGGATTGAGCCGGCTTCTTCCTGTTATGAGAAGAAGATTCTTGGGATAAATTACAGAAGTTGGGTACCCAGGCCTACTCGGATAACGTTCTTGCTTGCCGCGGGATTCTCACAGACGCAGAGACAGGAACGACCGGTTGCCGATGCAGACGCTCCTTGGATTTTCACCAGAGCCCTTGTTAGCCGGCGTGTGTGTCAGACCTGTCCGCCTTGGGTGGCCCTACCAGCAACGAAGTTCCGGACGGCATAGCTCTGACACTACCGTTTACACCCCCCCACCGACTGTGAGGTAAGGGTTGGGACTTTGGGGGCTTACAGTACCAGGTGTTCCCAAGCGGTCCCCCATCTAGTACTGACCTGGCTCTACGATGCTTAACTTCGGTGATCGAACGAGAACCGGTGTTTTCAGCGTGATTTGACCGTAAGCACCACGGTTTGAGACCAGCATTGTGAATGAAATTGGTTAGATGGGACATTTTCTATGTCGATGTTTGTTTTAGCAGGAAGTCATCAGTCATCGTGACCGAGATTTTGAGCGTACTGTCTTTGTTCAAACTACTGATCATCACAAATTATGCGCCCTTTCTCAGGCCCGCTCAGCATAGTTCAAGTGTGCCTGAACAGGTGCGATCAAAATGTATCGTCTGGCAACCCTAGCAGACAAATGTCATCGGGAAACGAGACTAGCCAGTCGTGTGCGTGTGTGTGTGATGTGTGTGTGTGTGTGTATGCGCGCACGTGTGTGTGTGAATTGGGATCATTTCTCTGATGAAGCTTTATTAAACGTGATTTTTTAACCGAGTTACCCCAAGCAAGATAAAAGGGGTTACTGGGAGGGAAGGAATAGAAAAAAGAAAAATTACTAAGGAGTGAGAACAATAGGAGAGCAATCAGGAATACAGTAGATGACGACTGACATTGCATTTAAATTTTTGATGATCAAATTTACCTGGAAAGTATGGAGCTGGAGTTCTAAAAGCGAGAAGTGTGAGAAAAGAAACTGTTAGCATAGAACTTACGGTTCAACGGTAATTTGATGAGACACTGTTGTTAATCTAATACTGTGCTTAACTTCATAAAGACTAGGTAACATGACAAAAAGCTCATCAGAAAATTAGCATGAAATTATTTATAGAAATGACACAAGGAAGCAACTTAACGACGCTGGAAAAGTGACTGAAGCCGAGATGCCAAATCAGGACCAATAATATTGCTGATTCTTCATTGGTTTTTTATCATGAATCTCTAGATATTTAGCAGGAGCACCAGCGCATATGTGGCAGCAATATTCTAATCTTGGACTAATGGTAGACTTATAGATATGTAAGATAGACTATGGAAAGAAAATTAGTGCAACACGATAGAGGGAACCAACTATCTTATCAGTAAACATATCAATGAATTCATTATAGACTTTCTACTTCATCTCAACAAAGAAGGTTAGCCCGAAAAGACGCAATGACTCACTCTCCTGGGGGTTAGCATCAGCTATACTGGTGGAAGGCAGAAAAAGGTGGCTTGGATTATTAATAGAGAGCCGTTTTGTTTTGGAGGAGTTAAAATTAATAAGGCATTCTTTACTCCAGTTATCAACAGACTGTATGTGATTTTTTTATATCAGTCATCAAGTTGACCTTAATGAACTGATCCGCCTTACTATCGAGACAGGAGTAAATGGTTTTATCACCAAGTTGGGAGCTGATGTCATCAGGAATGTCTTTAATGAAAATTTGAAAATTAAAAACAAAGTTTAACCAAGAATAGAGCCTTGGAGGAAACCTGAAGTAGTAAAAAAAAAAAAAAATAGGATCTAGAAGAGTGGCCGTTCAGGATAACATTCATTACACAATTTTTTTTTAAGAAAGACTGAATCAGTTCCAAAATTTGTCCGAAAACAATAACTATTCAACGTGGAAAGAAAACCGGAATACTAAACCCTGTCAAACGCTTTGGAGATGTACAAAGCAATAGTCCGAAATTAATCATTCTAAAGAGAATTTACCGGTGAAACATTCTGCTTTATTAGCAGATGTGCACACCTCAAAGTGAATGAAGAGGAATAGAAAACTTAGCCTTATTTAATACACTACTACAGAGCCGCCAGTAATCGCGAGTAATGTCACATGCAATACGGTGGCTTATTCTCTCAGCTAACAAAGACTTAGCGTCTTCGAGGAAACGTTTACATTTATTACGTGCGACCACGAGTACACGTATGTTGTGATCGGAGATGTCACGCTGGTATAGCCAGAAATAGTGATTCCTATAGGCTATAACGGCAAAACATGCTGGTGTGAACCATGGAGAACATTTAGGTTTCCCCTGGTATTTTTGGGAAATTACAAAAGGATGTATGTCGGCTTTAACCCAAGAAGAAACTTCTGTGGCACAATTGTCAGTAGGAAGGTTAAAAATAACAATCTAAGGGTTATCTCGAAGAAAGTCACGAAGTGAATCCCAATCAGCATGCTGGTAACGGAATGAGGTTTTTTGTATTGGAGGTTTCTGTCTAATAAATCAACAAGAGCTGGGAGAGGAGGTAATAAACAAATCAAGTAAAGAAGCCTGTTGTTCAGATTTATTAGGGAAACGAGTAGAGAAATCCACGATTTGCGTAAAATGTTAGATTGATAAATGTTGGCCTATATGTTTTATCTTTATATATTATATATATATATATATATATATATATATATATATATATATATATATATATATATATATATATATATGTGTGTGTGTGTGTGTGTGTGTGTGTGTGTTCAAAATGACTTTTCGAAAAATGAGTTTGAGGAGTCTTAAACGTCTGTTGCAGATTTTCTCTGATTTTCGAGGGAAGCATACTTTTCCACACTGACTACAGGAGAAGATATACCAGCCGCCGGAAGTTCCGGGTTTGCCGAATTGCCTCTTTACTGAAATGCCTCTTAGATGGAATGATTGGGATCAAGAGTGAGAAAAAGAGAGAGAGAATGATATCAACCTCGTCTCGCAGATCACCTTGAAGACTTATGAATTTGCTCTTTAATAAATGTCTCCCTATCGTGACGTAGTTTCAAATACACACACAAACACACACACGCAATAAGCATGTAATTGTTTCTGGATGAAGTCAATTTTTCGTACATGCGCACCACTTACTTATTTTCAGGTCAGTCCATTCGACCCGGATTTTACCACTCCTAACGCAATTTAAAATCATTCGACCTTATAGAAATATAGCTCTTTTTTTTTTTTTTTTTTTTTTTTTTTTGAAGAGTGAAGAGTTACTTTTACATCTGATGGACTATAACGGAAGAATGCCGATTTTTAACTCGTAAATATAATTGAAAGTGAAAAAAATATCTCCAGGTCGATAACCGCCACTTGGGGTCTGCTTAAGAAAAACAAATGACGCTAATACAGACTTGTACAAAATTAATAAGCGTATTCTCATCAAATACGAAGTATCAAGAACACTTTCTGTGGATTTCTTCGAGCTTTCAAAACCAGGTTACTGGAAATTTTGAAATATGTCTAATACAATGGATGAATTTTTGCAAAGATTAAATCGTTTACAAACAATTAAACTTCTTCTTCTTCTTCTTCTTCTTCTTCTTTCAATTATCTATGATGAAGCTTTAATAAACGTGAAACATGTTAGATTGATAGAAGTTCTTAATCGTTCTTTCTTTTATCATATATATATATATATATATATGTGTGTGTGTGGAGTGTGTGTGTGTGTGTGATAAAAATATATGCTTTATTTATGGGTTAAAGTGCTCGATATCAGAGATAGAGCGTATGTAAATATAAAAGTGGACAATGAGGTCAACACGCAGCGGCGACAGTCTGTTTCATGCAATCGTCTGGCCATCGTGTCTGAACGTCTGCTTCAGTGAAATAAAAGGGCTGATGATTCTGTTTAAGCATGAAACAGACTGTCGCCGCTGGTTGATGATCTTCATGCCCACTGTTATATATATATATATATATATATATATATATATATGGACAATGTATATATATATATATATATATATATATATATATATATATATATATATATATGTATATATATATATATATATATATATATATATATATATATATATATATGGATGGACAATGTATATAATATAAACAGTCTGTTTCATGCTATATGCAATCGGTGGCCTGACGATTGCATATAGCATGAAACAGACTGTCGCGCCTAAGTGTTGACTTCTATGTTCACTTTTATATATTTACACGCTCTATCTCTGATATTGAGCACTTTATTTCATAAATATAGCATACCTTAAGACTATATTTCTTTATATATATATATATATATATATATATATATATATATATGTAACAGCAAAATTGTCCAAATCGTGTCACACCATAATTGTACAATTGTTAGATTAAGCTTTGATTTGTTGTATCATAGAAATGATTAAAGATATCTTACTGGAATTCTCCTAGTTTTTACAAAACTATTGGACTCCATTTTAAACAATAAGAACATAATTAGCTGAAATGTTTTAAGTTGAAATGATGATCTCGCTCTTTAATATTTCCCCTTTTTTAGCGAGATTAATGCTCGACAAGCATACACATAAAAATTTTAGATCCTAATAGAATTCTTTTCATTTTCATTCAAAATAATCAAAAATTTTAGGAATACGTTTTGAAAGCGTCACTCATGTGACGACAACGTGACCATGCTAAACGGAAATCTGATCATTTTAAAATTTTCAGTTATCTGTTTTGGATATATATATATATATATATATATATATATATATATATTATATATATATATATATATATATATATTTATATATATTAGAAAATATATATATTAGAAATTAATATATATATATATATATATATATATATATATATATTATATATATATATATATATATATATATATATATATATATATATATATATATATATATATATATATATATATATATATATATATATAAGAACGCTGGAAAAACTAAGTATAAAAAATATATATATATATATATATATATATGTGTGTGTGTGTTCTTTTCAATACAAATTATTCGATTAATTGTTCGTACTACTATCGTTTAAAATAACATTTTCCTCACCGCCTTCATGACTATACGTATACACATTTATACCGACCACAAAATACGCCGAGATTCTCACGCATTAACTGTCTATCTTACCAAATATCACACGTCTCAAGGCCATATCATATTGAAACATTGGTTCCCATATCATATCGAACCTGGGAAGTATCTAGGTGGCCTATCATAGAACACCAGTTGCGTGTGTGTAATGGTTAATAGCTCAGAATTGTTAATCGGAGTGTCGAGTTTCGATTAAACTTGAGAAAAGCTGAATTCACCTATATCTCCTCAGCTATGGGTTAATTAGTAACACATATATTTCCAAATCATTATTATCACCGCCC